CTGAACTTTATCGGCCACACTGAAGCCACAATATTACAATTAAACCAGATATCACATGAATGCTTTCACACAATGAATTGTAAATTTAATTCTTGCTTTTTAAAGTTGACCAAAATACAGAATCCTGTGTTCCAAAACTGCAGTCACTAAATACAGGATACCATACAAAACCTACAAAATGCAACAATTACAAACATTTTGTTCAACAGATAACAATTGTACAGTATAAATTTATACAATACTGTTTTGTTTATATTTGGCACTTGACCACAAGATGCTATTTTGTGTTTTAACAGAAATGTTACACCTGACGTAACTTTTGTAATTTTTTTTTTTTTTTTTAGCTTTTTTTAAAAAAAAAGAAAGAAGAAACAAATCATAAAAATACAATAAAAGCAACACATGGTGACAGCATCATTGCAGTAGTTGTGATTCTCGGTTTGTTTGTCTGCATTATCTTTTTCCTTCACAAAAACCAGCAGTTCTTTAGTAAAACATTCAAAGCTTCTCTAATTGGAAAATGATGCAATAAGTGAAAGGGCTTCGCTCTGCCCTGGAGAGGAGGGGGGGGGGGGGGGGTGTCACACAGGTCAGAGTTGAACTTTCTTAAAAACCTCAGGGAGAGCTGTTTTTACTCTTTTCTTTGACAGCTTAGTGAAGGAAAGGAGGAGGGAGATAAGGTGAGACCATCACTTACACTGATGCGTGACCATGAATAGCGTGTCATGTGTTGTACGTGATACTGTAAACTGTAGATTCTAGTTGATTGAAAGTGTGCTGTAGAATCTTGATTCACTCCTCAGTGTGTGTTTGGCCCGGTTCCAGACACAATTATATGGTGATTTAAATATTGAGCTCAACTGACAGAGAGAGAAAAAGCTCTCATCTGTTACTACCCAGCATCCCCATTAAACAGCGTGTCTTCTCTACGTATAGATTGTTGGTGTGTGGTGGTCTATTCCTAAAGCTTCTCTTTGTTCCCCTCCATGACGTTATTCAGGTGAACCGTCAGCTTTGGCAGTCCATACGCTGTCCATAACACTGACTACTGGTAGCACTAACGATGACGACACGAACGTACAGAAAGCGAGCTCAGGGCTGCACGGGCAACCGTTTAGCCACTCAAATCCATAAACACACACATGCGAATAAGTCACATGCATACGTGTTATTTAGTCGATGCACCCCTGCACCAGACTGTTCAACATGCGGCATTTAAAAACATTTAAAAGTGAGCGTGTCTCTGTTCTTCACACGGTAAAGGTCTGGTTTGCATGCTTGACATCCCGCAATACCATAAATAAACAATCTTTTTTTTTTTTTTATCATTTCACAACATTTGTTATGAACTGAGCAATCTCAACTAGCTTTACAAATTTAGGTGCGCTTTTAAAATATCTACACTGTACTGAAATACTTTAAAGACTACTTTTCTATTCTCCGGAAGCTAGAGCGCAGTAATACACCGCCACTCCAAAACTCTCCGTCAACTTGTTACAGGAACAGATGGTGGGTAAAGGGATGCGCTTCATTCTTTATCACATCAGTGAGACTTCACAAAAATCTAAACTACCGATCAGGGCACGTATGCATAGTAGCATAGTATCACAAGTCACATGTCATTTTGTCCCAGCACAAAATATGAAACAAAGTCTATCGAGTTTGTAAGATGCACAAACACACGTTCACATTCTCACAGTAGAAAAGAGGAAACGGGGAAAAAGAAAGCAGTACTCGCTCCGAGTGAAGGACAAACTTCACAAGTCCTCTCTGCAGATAAAATAATCTCACCTACAGTATGTCCTGTTATTCAACACCATTCTCTCTCTCTCTCTCTCTCTCTCTCTCTCTCTCTCTCTCTCTCTCT